GTGCAGTCTAACATGTGTTAATGCTTCGTTTTTTTTTTAAAACGCATTATTTTTCACATAATTTACCTTTATTCCACACCGCTCTGTCCCTTCTCTGAGAAACGTGCTGATCAATTTCCTGCTTTTATGAAGCCCCTCCCTCAGAAATAGGCGATGGGCTCTGATTGGTTAGCTAGCCCAGTGTGTTGTGATTGGCTAAACCGCCTCTAGTGCGCGTCTAAACGTCCCGCCCCTCACCCTTTATCCTGATTAAAGCTTTAATACAGTACGACAACTGCACACGCGTCCATGTTTAACGCTTCTCATAGCTATGTGAAAATAAGTGTATAATTGTAACAGTTCATTGTTGGAACTGAGCTGAATGAGAGAGAGAGAGAGATGCACATCATGTGCAGAGCGACGCGAGGAACAGTATTAAGAACTGCTGCTTTAGAACATTGATTTTGAAACTTGTGAATCCATTAGAAACGTTAGAAGACAGAATCGCGATTCATATATGAATAGATTCTTACGTGCAGCCATATTTTTACGTGCACCTCTAGTTTTCTCTTCCTCTTCTCTAAAGCAGCGCAACATGGCCCTTTGCTGCCTTTTCCCGAGGGCGGGGTTTATCTGGGTTTGTGATGTCACGAACCTGGGAAGTAACTCGTTGTAGTCCCTACCAGCCGTTTTTGTAGGCATTAAACTGCCAGAATTTTAAAAGACGATATCTCCATTTGCATTGAACTTTCAGCTTCGTAACTTTGCAGATATTGTTTATGCTCAAACAGCAACATTACACACTAACTAACGTTAAAAAAGTGAAATCGCAATGAACCACTCCTTTAAAGATGGTTGACCTACTATAAGATTTTTAGATGAGACTCCATTATGGTATTATGGGTAAATCAAACACTAACTTTCATCAGGTAGTTTGTTCTCCTTCTCGTCGTGCTCCATCTGCCTGCACCAGCCCTCCATACGTTCTGTCTCTGCCTGCAGCAGCTTTAGGAACCAGTGGCCGTCACGCTGACACACAGAGCGGCCTACGACTTCCAAGGGATCTTCTGTTACGCTATCAATCCATGGGTCAGGTGGAGGCAGGATGGAGGGATCAAAGCCAACGTCCTCATACTCATCTGAGGTGCAGGCGTGGTAGTGATTCCCTGAGCCCTGGATGCTGACGGTGGAGGTGGCGGCATCACGCGAGTACTGCCGTGACAAGCAGCCCGAGGAGGGGAAATCTGTGACAGGAGAGTCAGCTGGTGTGTAGTCCAGAGTGTCCAGATCAGCCTGTACCGCTGTCGTCACGCTGTTGGAGCGCTTGAACCGCCGGTGACTGAGCCCAAGAAAAAAAAAAGATTTTATTTACACAAAAATGCAACTCATACATACAGTGTCCACATGCTCTTCTATGAAGAAAATGGTTTTAATCTCTGTATTAATATTAATTTAGATTTTTTTTGGTGGACATAAACAATTATTATTATACAGATCCATTATTTAAATATAATGATTCATTAAAATTATGAAAATAATAATGAGGGCAGGAATGTTTTTAACTATACAAAACATGCATAAACAAAAACTCACAAGAAAACGCATTTCTTGACAGATTAAAAAAAACAACTGTTTTTCTTCATTATCATGTCCAAGTAGTCTTAAATGCCACTGACTCATAAGCAGTAGTCACAGGTTCTGTCCTTAAAACATGAGCTGTACTGTCTACATGAGCCACTGTCTACATAGACACTATGTATAACACAATATTAACTTGTTTGAGATGCTCTTGTAGGCACAAATATCATTAAAAGCCATGTATCTGGCAGACAAAAATCACCACTCAAGTGGCCTCCAAAAGAGACTCATTTAAAGCACACAGCTAGTGATAATTTAATAAAATGATGTAGCAAACATGAAAATTGCACAAAATAATGCATCTTTTAAAGCTGGTTTCCTGTCAACACTTAAACTCTCAAAAACTTTAAACTCTCCTATAGTTTTGTTCCATCATTTTTGATGAAACTGTTTTGCTGAGCTTGTCACAATGAATTGTGGGATTGCCTTATCGAAAAAAAAAGTGGTAGTGGTACTTCAAATTTAGGCAAATTTAGGCCTTTTAGGGTGCAGCATAATCTGTTGTCTACAATTCGTGACATCAGGAGCACGTCTATGGTGCCTAAAAATACTGTCTAGCTAGGCAGTTTTGAGAAGAGCCATGGTGTGCCAGCTTTAGCGCTCTGGGATAATCCTGTCCCTGCTCAATAAGTTTAATAAAGTAAAAGTGTCTCCATAATACAGAGTTTCTTAATCCTTGATTTAATGCACTCTCTCACCATATGCAGTGTGCAATATGACAGCTGTAGAGGATAAACAATACTTTTCAGAAAGCAACAGTATGAACTTTGAACCACTGCATTAATCTGTAGATTGAATAAATTTTATAAAACACACAGATTAGACACATTTTAGACCAAGTTAATTAATTGAGAGGAAGTGGAGCAATAAAGGACACAAAGGCAAGGTGATGACAGGACTTGTTTTTGGTAATTTTGGATTTTAACATGGAGTCAACATGATGACATGATAACCCATAACTGCAATGGTGTAGCCAAATATAAAAGAATGGAGTGACCAAATGTGGAATATTTTATTTTTGTTATTTATTTTATTCAACTAATTTGAATATTGTGGGCATCCTCAGTGTCTATGATGGTTTCAGCCCTGAATCACTGGATGCTAATCAAACAAACAGCACAGATTAACAGTGTTATATACACTAGATTTTTTATTTTATTTTATTTTTGAGAGAGAAATTACTTTAGTATGTTTACTTATCAAGGATGCATATTAATCAAAATGAGAGTAAAGACATTTATTAAGTTAGAAAAGATTTCTATTTCAAATAAATGCTGTTCTTTTCAACATTCTAATCATCAAAGAATCCTAAAAAAGGTACCATGGTTTCCACAAAAATATTAAGCACAACTGTTTTAACATTGATAATAATAAGAAATGTTTCTTGAGCATCAAATCAGCATACAATAATAATTTTTGAAGGCTCATGTGACACTGAAGACTGAAGTAATGGCCGAAGAGTTTTCATTCAGTTTTGCCAACACAGGAATGCATTACATTTTTAAATACACTTAAATAGAAAACAGTTATTTTAAATTGTAATAATAATATTTCACAGTATTACTATAGTGGAAGTGACTTTGGGGTGCTATTTGTCCCTGAAACAGTTGTTTTAGAGCACACAAACACACACATAGACTCACCCATGCTCTTCCTCAACTTGAATCCCCACTGACTGAAATTTGGACTGGTCCTCCAGTTCCTGGTCCTCAGGCCCATCCACCTGTTTAAACACATTACACAGTAAACCAGCCACCTCCACACTCATTTGAAGAATCATCTACCTCAGGTAGAAGGAAACAAATCTCCAACTCACCCTGTGTGGGTTTGTATACAGAAATAAAAAGACCAGCTTGTATAAGACTGAACTTGTATGAATATATATTTTAAGAATCTTGTGTACAAACATCTGATAAATACATTAAAGTGGATATTACAACTAAATGGTGTTCTAATAGCCAGCAGGAACATCTCAGCAGTGTTGAGAAGAATAAACAATGAAAACGTTGCTGAATCTCACTCACCTGGATGCCAATAGAAAGGCACCTGCTCTTCCTGAGCACATCCCTGCGGGCGTCTTCCAGGGCTGGTATGGGGATGGGGATGGGCACAGGCATGGGCATGGGCAGCGGAGAGGGGGGTGTAGTGCCGATGGTGATGGTGCTGTTGCTGACGTGCTGACTGGCAGGGCCGTGGATCTGAGCATTGGCTGCCTCGATGGCTGCCGTCAGCGCTTTCATGCTGTCAATGCTCTCAGTGGAATTGCTCAGGCCAGAGTGGAGGACGGGTTCGCACCGTGTCCCGGGACCGTCCATGTAAGCGTCCTGCGCAGACTCAGTGCTGCTCTGGGCCGTGATGGAGATGAAGGGCTTGGTGGAGGTGCGAGGAGGTACCGGCGGAGGAGTCTTCTTGTAGGTGGTGATACATGATGATACTGAAGACAGAAAAGTAAACTTATTCATTTCTCTGATGCTTTTATCCACTCTAACTTACAAATATGGATGGATGAAAAAGAATGTAAACAGTTGAGTTAATAATGGAAACATATAAGGAAAAACAACTTTTATAATAAGTGTCAGGATAAATAATACTAATTCACCATGGCTGTCAAAAAAAAAAAACAACAACACTGGTAAGATTTTTTAAAATGCTTTTGAAAGAAGTCTTATGCTCACCAAGGCTGCATTTATTTGATAAAAAATACATAAAAAAACGTAATATTGTGAAATATTATTACAATTTAAAATAACTGTTTTCTATTTAAATTATCTAAAAATGTTATATATACTTGATGACAAAGGTGAATTTTCAGCAGTCATTACTCCAGTCTTCAATGTCACATGATCTTTCAAAAATCCTTCTAATATGCTGATTTGAAACTCTAGAAACATTTCTTATTATCACAGATTTTTTTTTTGAGGAATATAAAGTAAAAAAAAAAAAATTGTATTTAATTTTTTTTTAACAATTTACTTAGACTTTTGATCAATTTACTGTATTCTTGCTGAATAAAAGAACAGATTTCTTAAAAAAAAAAAAAAAATCTTACTGACACAAGGCTTTCAAATGGCAAGTGTGTGGATAAGTAATTCAAATCCTTTGTTTAAAAGCTAAAACTTAACTACTGTATGACGCAGTTACAGCAAGATTCTAGCAAACCAGAGAATTGTGATGGCTGACATGATGACAGCAAATCCTCTGAATTTAAAATTAACCTGTGTTAATATCGTACACATTGTGAATGCATATTTTGCAGTAACTTGCCATTACTTGAGCAAAAAGTCAACGCCGCCCACCGTTATGCTGGACGGTTTTTAAGTTTTCTTCAACACACACAGCTAAGCACATTAAAGAGGCCAGGAATGTTTTGCTGGAGTCATGGGGAATAAGAGATAAGACTCAGAACAGACCATGCTTCCAACATGACTCCATGTGCTAATCTTTTGCCTTTGCCACCACCTTGAATCTGGCAGTAAAAAAAGCCCGTTCACAAACCATGGATTTGCATGAGATTTGTCTCGCAAACTTTTTTCAGGTCAAGCCCAAATGCCACACAGATACAGTCTGTGATCCAGCAACAGATGGGACCCAAGATGGAACTGCAAATTCTGCATGTTTCCAATGTGAAAGCTGCTTTACCGTCTCTTTACCAGACCACTGCCATGTCCTAAACCTGCAATATTCAATAATGTACAGTCTCATAGATATTGAGATAAATACAAATACAGTAATGATCTCAAACCAAGCAGTAATGGCACAAAATAATTATAATTATAAAATAAATGCAATTTAATATGAGATAATTATTTCCTTAAAACAAATGGATCCTCCCAAAATTCCAATGTCCTACTTTAGTCTGATTGTTTATTTATAACTTCTAATATGTAATTTCAAATTAATATAAGCAAATAAAACATCACATAGAAAGACGTAAAACAATTAATAATGATAATAATAAGAGTGGTAATAATAATTAAGTTACTTAAATAATATATAAAAAATACAATTTGAAAGTAATTAAACAATTATATATACATATTCACTTGCGACATATTTGTGTAAAATATCCACATTTATGATCCTTTCACAATATTATTTGACAAGCAGGGGCCACCATGCTATAATATTTATCGCATTCATTTGAATTTTATTTTAAGTCCTTAAAAAGCTTCTGACAGAGAGCATGATTAAATATTCACTTATTAACATACTTATGGAAGAATCCCATTATATCAGTGTGCCATCTGTTGACATTGAAAGTGTTATCTTGAAGTGCTACTGCTTGACACAGTGCTGGTGGAGCATGGACTCATTTCCTCCAGCACTTCACTTCAAAGAGCGAAACAACCCCTCACATCCCAGACTAAACATGAAATCACTAATCGATGGCTGCATGAAGCTGCAGATAGAGGTGTGTGTTGTGAGATAAACAGTGAGAGAGTCTGTGTGTGAGCAAGGCATGGATTTTCCTTATTATTTATTCTACGAAACATCCACAAGGGGGCAATCTAGAGCGAGACAGAGACCATCTGTTAATGTCCTCTCTGATTTCATTTCCTCATTCTCATACTCTTTGATTTTTCTCTCCCTACATATTCCCTGACTTCTTTCTGTTCTCTCTGTTGAGAATAACTTTTTTTGTACTGTTTTTATGTCCCAAAATGCGTGTATAAAATACAATAATTTGTTTTAAATTACGGGGCTATTGAATGCTTGAATCTGATTGGCTGATGAACGTTCTAAGGTGTGCAGTTATTTTCAGGGAAACGCATGGCTAAAGTAGTTCCAGGCAGGTCTTGACCTCATTACATATCCATATCACTTCGCCAAATGATTTCAGTTATTTCAAAGGTCCTTACAGCCTACAACAGCAAAAGAACCAAATCCCACAAATAGTGCAGGGCCGGTTCTAGACATTAGGAGGCCATAGGCAAAATTCATGTTGGATGCCCCCCACTCCCAATAAAAAGCACTTGAAACAAATATGATCCCTAACCTTTTTGTTTATACAACATTTAATTTTAAATTTTGCATATTTTACTTAAGCAGTACAAAAGTTTGGACACATTACTATTTTAATGTTTTTGAATAAAGTCTCTTATGCATATCAAGCCTGGATCTATTTGATCAAAAATACAGAAAAAAAAACAATAATATTGTGAAATATTATTACAATTTAAAATAATGTTTTTCTATTTTACTATACTTTAAAATATAATCTACTTCTGTGATGCAAAGCTGAATTTTCAGCATCATTACTCCTGTAATGAAATTAACTCATTTGTAAGGGAATGAATTATTATTATTTCATTCAGGTTTTGAGAGGACTAGGATCGTATATTAATCAAACTTTATCTAAGGTAATCTCTTTTTTTACTTGATGAAAATGTTATTGTTGTTGTCGTTATTATTTTGCTGTTTTATTCAATTAATTCACAGTTCCAGAATACCAATTTAGCAGATGAACATAAGTGCTTTTATCATTTTTTTTTCCTAGCTGCGGTATGGCCAGGAATCCCCCCTCCAATTTAATCAATATTGACTACAGATATCATCATATTATTAATATCAATAATATGATATGTATTGCATTTTTACCTTAACCCTTTTATGGTTACTCAGCCAGTGTTCGTGGGTCTGGTGGACCCGCTGCAGTTTTGGGTTTTTAATTCAACACAATCAAAAATTATATGTTAAAATACTCAAAAGTTGTTTACTTCATCCCAATTACAAGCAATGTGAACAGCATATATGGTCAAAATTTGCCCATTACCTTTGTTAGATCACATTTATGAATTAAAGTGCTACAACCTTGTGCGGGATGGCAGGGGCAGAAACACAAAACTCACACTTACACTCTTACAGACTCTCTCACACACGCACACACACGCACGAACGCACGCACACACATACATACACACACACACACACACACACAC